TGGGTGGTGCTCTGTTTTGACCTGGAGCCAGTCCTTAGATATGTTGGTTCTGGGTCCTCATGGAAGGGACTCTGGTGCAGGTAAATGTCAGATGGAGTTCAAATTCAGCACCACAGCTGGATCTGAGGCCACTCAGCAAAAGTCTCAGGGTACACCAACGTGAGTTGACACTTGCCTAGGGCCTTGGGACCTTGATGTAGGGTGGAGTCTCAGGCAGTTGTGAGGGTGGAGCTAGTAGAATTTACTAGGCTAAAGCAGATTATGATTTGTCCCTGTGGAGGGAGGGATTAACACAGGAAATGTGGCACCTGAAGGCTGTGAGGGAAGATGGCCATTGCCCTGAACCAGATGATCAGTTTCTCCCTGTGTGTCTCTGGCACCCCTCAAGCTTGACTGGAATTCCTAGACAGTTTTTTAAGAAGGACTGCAATGCAGACTCAAGCTATGGTCACCACTTACAGGAGATGACCCTTGCCTTAAAGCCACAAAACTCAGTTTCTCTGTGTTTGTCTCTGGCATTCCCCAAGCCTGACTGGAATTCCTTGAGAGTTTTTCGAGAATCATGGGCCTAAGCTGGTTGCTGCTAACAGTTTCTCTGGCCATCTGCAAGCTAGTTAGTGTGGGATTTAAGGGAGTCATCAGGGTGGAGCCAGTGTAGCTTATCAGGCCACTGACCTGTAGGAGAGGGCTTAACTCAGGAAAGATGGCACTTCCTGGGTTGTGCAGTAAGAGGACTCACCACAGGAACATCGGAGACTGTCCTTTCAACCCTTTTCCTGAAGTCACACGACTGTGTCTCTCCCTGTATGACTCTGGCATCCCCTGTGCCACCATCCGTCTGCCAGCGCCCAGGGAGAGTGCCTAGAGCAAGAGTTTTTGCATTGGTTCTTTAAGAGGATGCCTGTATTTCCAGCAGCCTTACATTTCCCCAGGTGGAGAGATTCCCTGCTGATTTTTACAGCCAGATGTTATATGGGCTTCTCTTCCATGGGCACTGGCTGGGGAGCTCCACATGGGGCTGAGACCCCTCACTCATCAGGAGGAACCTGTGCAGCTGAGATACCCCTCAAGATTCTCAACTGTAACATGTGGGTGTGGGGCCAGCCCTCTTCATGTCTTTGCCCCTCCTATCAACCTTGTTGTACCTTCTTATTTATATCCTTAGTTACTGGACATCTGTTCACTAATTTCCAGATGGTTATCCAGGTTGATTGTTCTATAATTTAGTTGTAATTTTGATTTTGTCATCGGAGTAGGTGAGTGCAGTTTCCACCCACTTAGCCATCTTGGACCTCCCCCTTTGGCATCATTTTTTTGGCACTATTTTTTACTGACTACTTTTTTTCCTCTGCCTATAGGTCAGATTTTCCTGATTAGCAATTTTTGATTGTATACTGGAGATAGTGGTTGATATCTTGTAGAGACCCAGTATTCTGTTATCTTCTTAGTAGTCAATTCAGTTACTGGCTGATCACCTTGAACCCATGTATATCTGTTTTTATGTTTTGTTAGTGTTCAAGTATGTTTCTTTGCCTCGCTAACTTTATAGAACTCAGTCTCCAAACCTGAGACTTAACGTCAGGTCTTGTTTTTAGGCTTTTTTGGGCAGGTTTATGGAGGCCTTCCTCTAGCTAGGGTCCTCACTCAAAGGATACAGCCTCCTGAAGTCTCAGCTTAATATTTGGGTCATTAACAAGGTACTAAGGAGACCTCATCACTGTGACTGGGTTGGAACTTCAGCGTTCCTTAGCACTGCTCAACTTCTATTTCTATGTCTAGTCTCTTCTCAATCCCATATGAGCCACTCTCTGGTAAGATTATGGTACTCTTATCCTGCATATAGAGTCCTCACTGGGCACTCCGTCACATAGACTTTGCAGCTCTCCCAACTCCTGCATTGTTCTCTCATGCTCTTCTTGGATTCGATCCCACTGTCCTGTGGTAAGGAAACTGGGCACGTAGAGTTGTGAGCATGAGGTACATTTCATGAGTTTTCCTTCTTTGAGGATTACAGTTTTGTGCTTGTTGTTCACATCCTGAAAATGGCAGCTTCCCCTATTATTCTCAGTCTAACGGTTGTTTATGGAGGGAAAGCTCATCTGCTATTGGTTACTGTGCCAGAGTTGAAAGTTGCCCTGGGGCCCTGAGGTCTGCTGTGGATGGGTTAACATCCAGGGTCACTGCTTGGCTGTTGTGTTGGGATTTTCCTTTGCCTCTATTTTGAGTTGAATTCTCTCTTCTCTGGAGCCTACATTTTCTTAGTTTTGGTTGATTTCTTTAGATACAGGAACCTTTCATAGTTTCCTGAAAAACGGTGGCAGGAAGGTAAATTTTTTGAGGCTTGCATGACTGAAAATGCCTTAAACCATCGTGCCTGGCTGATAGACTGAGTAGAGAATTCTAGGTTAGAAGTAATTTTCCCTTATAATTTTAGGCATTGTTTGATTGTATATCTAATACCACTGTGAATCTTTTGTTTAAAACCTTGAAACCTGTTTTTACTCTCTGGAAGTTCTTACTATCTTCTTCCCTATTTTTCTGGAATTCTCTCAGTCATGTGTTTTGTGTGGGTCTATTTTCCTCCATTGTGTGTATGCTTAGTGGACCCTTTGAAACAGTTCTGAGGGATTTTCTTGAAGTGTTTCTTTGATTTTACTTTTTCTTCCCTCGAACTTATTACCACAAATTGTTCCTCCTAGGTTGGTTCTAGAACTTTCTTTTCTCTCTTTTCTATCTCTTTGTATTTTTCTTTACGATGGAGGGATTTCTTTATCTCCCAACCCTTATGTTGTATTTTTCACTTATGTTATATATTTAATTTTCAAGAGTTCTTTTTATTTCTTTCTGAATGCTCCCTCTGCTTAAAGAAAATAATTTTATTATTGTTTCATAGATCTTTCCTGTCTCCGAAACTATTGATTGTTTTTGATGTTTTTGCCTTTGCATAGTTTGTTTTCTCCAAGTTGCTTTTTTTCCATGTTTGGCCTCAGTCTTTAGTGTTATATGTTCTCTGGGGTATGGAGATGAGTTTTGGTCATTTGGATCCCAGGTTTGTACAATATAGTGCCAAAGTTCACACCTTTTACTTTACCCCATGTATAAGCTAGGAGTTACCGTCAATGGAGTATGGAACCTGGTTTCCTTTGGAGCCTCTTACAACTGAGGAATAAACAGGAAGTCTCAGGACTGAAGGATTTTATTGAGCTTTTTCTGGGGGGGTGTGGGAGAAAGATTACCTCCACAGTGTGTGGGTCATTATTCCTGACCTCAGGAACTGTCTGAGGCCTCTGAGGTATGTGTCCCCACCCCAGACAGACTAGGGGGGCTTCCAACACCTTGAGAACTAGTTAGTGGGGCACTGACAGTGCTTGTACCGGCAAAGGAAGATGGATAGACCTGCAGCTCAGTGTGGACTAAAGGCTTGTGTTTATCCTGAGAGAGCCCTGAAACCCTGTGATTTATGGAGCAGAGAAGGCACTACCTGAGCTTTTGAGAGCCCTGGTACCTACCTGCTCTGAAACCTGTCTATGGGCTGTCTCTCCCAGTCCTACAGCTGGTAATCTGTGCCTGGAGTGGGAGGCCTCCTAGTGTGGGCACAGTATAGATCCAGATCTGCCTTCGCCCAGCCCCTCTCCCTTCTCTCTTTTGAGTCTATCCTGCCAGAGTCCTGCATCTACAGAAAGCCAGGGAAGCTCCTGCCACACTTGGGTACCTCTTCTCCATGGTCAATATCCAGGAGGGCTGGGTAGCGGGCACTAAAGGGTGTTTGTTAAGTGGACACTTGGGTGGGTAAAGGCCCCTTGGCAGGGCTCTGCCTACTGCATTCCCTAGGCCCTCATTGCCACAACGCAGGCCCTCATACCACCTGGTTGTGAACATTTTCGTGTGTGTTGCTGAGGCAGAAGTAGAAAACACTAGTTCTGGGAGAGTCTTACACATGGTCAGCTATAGCAGTACATTTATAATCACAGAGAGGGGAAGAAACTGGACATCCATACAGCTAGCATCGTGGCATACCTGGAGCCAGCCTGCCAGACTATGAGCTGCTGAAGCCCTTCTGGTCCATAGGGAGCCCGGTGTTTAGGAGAGAGGGCATACAGAAGACCCTGGGTTGAGTGCACTTCCTGTTACAGTACAGAATACATTCTTTGTTCCCTCACCACCTTTCCCTGGGGACTATGGAGGGCAGAGATGGGGCTGCCCACCTTCCCTTTACATCCTCCTGTCCTCCCTGTAATTGAGCCACTGAATTTCTTCCTCCCTCCCTCCTCTTTTTCTTTCTTTCTCCCTCTTTCTTTCTTTCTTTCTTTTTCTTTCTTTCTTTCTTTCTTTCTTTCTTTCTTTCTTTCTTTCTTTCTTTCTTTCTTTCTTTCTTTTTCTTTCTTTTTCTCTTTCTCTCTCTCTTTCTCTCTCCCTCCTTCCCTCCCTCTCTCCCTCCTTCCTTTCTCTCTTTTCTCTCTTTCTCTTTTTCTCTCTCCCTCTCTCTTTCCTTCCTTTCTCCTTCTCTCTCTCTCTCTTTTTCTCTCTTTCTCTCTCTCTTTCTTTCTTTCTTTCTTTCTTTCTTTCTTTCTTTCTTTCTTTCTTTCTTTCTTTCTTTCTTTCTTTCTTTCTTTCGGTAAGGCGGGGTAGAGAGGGGGATGGAGAGAGAGAGAGAGATAAGTTGGTTGCCTCCTGTACATGCTTCGACTGGGGATCAAACCCTCAATCTAGGTATGTGCCCTGACCAGGGGTTGTACTGCAACCTTTTGGTGTATGGGCTGATGCTCCAACCGACCAAGCCACCCAGTCAGGGCACCACTGAGTTGCTTTCTAAGGGCTCAGAAGGCCCTCTATCTTTCTCTGTCTACCTTCTAGACTTCCTGTGCAATTCCAGTCAAGGTGTGGGCTGGTGGCCTTCCATTTGGAACCAGCACTTTTGGAATGGGGGTGTGGGGTTGCCTTCCCTGTCCCCCATGGTTGGCTATATCATCAGGTTCATGGGAAGCTCCCTATTTTTTTAGCTGCAGATCTGGGACACAGCCGGCCAAGAGCGATTCCGCACCATTACTCAGAGCTACTACCGCAGTGCCAATGGGGCCATTCTCGCTTATGACATCACCAAGAGAAGCTCATTCCTGTCAGTGCCTCATTGGATCGAGGATGTGAGGAAGTATGCAGGCTCCAATATTGTGCAGCTGCTGATTGGTGAGCTGGGGGGAGTGAAGTGGGGGCTGGCAGGGTTCCTTGGGGCCATAGATCCCATCTGTTTGTCTCAGTTTCTCTCTCCTTTTTAAAAAGAGGGCAAGCCAGAATACAGAGAGGGACTGGGCTTGTCCAGGTAGGAATGGAGCCAGAACTTGAACCATGCATGATCTTGCAAATTCTTATTCTCCTAATAACTTGTAAACTTACACTCAAAATTGGAATTAGAAGAAGGGAGAAAGGAAGCTAACATTTGCTTTGCAGTGTGCAAGTAGCCTCATGGTGGTTAACACTGGTTAAATTTTCACAGGTGTCTTTCAATTTAGTTCCTATAATCTGGCTACTCCTTATTTGTCAGGGCATGGAGCTGAGGCTAAGAAAAGTAAATGCTTTCTCCCATTTCACACAGCCTGTGAGGATATATGAGTACATGTGAAATTTGAGTTCAGTTCTGCTCATTTTAATTCAGCAAAGCAGAGCTCCTCAAATGTTTGCATGCCTCCAAAGCCTTAAAGATGTTGGGCACCACCTTCAGAGCATCCGATTCAGGAGGTCTAGGTGTGGCCCATAAATGTACATTTCTAACAAATTCCCAGGTGATGCCTGTGACGTCTGTGTTGCTGGTGCTGCAGAGGGATGCAGCATTTTCTCTTTTACTCTTACGTAAACCTCCCAGACCTGGACTCAAGAAGCTTTGGACCATTTGTGTGGTCCCTGGGGTCCTCATCCCAACAGTCATGCTGATTTTTCTAAGATGAGATTGTACAGATGGGGCCTGAATATGTCTCCAGCTAAGAAAAGGGTGGCATTTGGTTCCATACCTACCTTCCATAGCCTCCCTGGACTGGGGTGTCAAAGTACACAGCAAACCTTGACTACTTGGGCAGTAATGGAGCTTTCTTTCTCTAGCCTTACACTTCCCTTTTATCTAGGACATTTAAAATATAACATTTTACGATTGAGTATTTTATACAGATACAAAAATAAAATAGTGTGATGAACCTCACATACCTATTACCCAGCTTCAGCACTTAGAAACTTATGTCCCACTTCATCTCCATGCTCATCCTCTACCTTCCTTGTATTATTTTTCAGGTAATTTCTAACTCTAACTATTTCATCTGTAAATATTCTGCCATGAATCAATAAAAGATAAAAATACTTAAAAATAAATAACAACAATATCATTTTCACATCTAAAAATATTGACATTTTCTGAATAAAATCAAATAGCTGATCTGTGTTCAGATTTCTACTCTCTCATAAACAGCATGTGCCTTTTTTTGTTGTTGTTGAAATTAGGATGTTTTACACATTGAAATTAGTTGCTGCATCATTTAAGGTTACCAAAGAAATTTTAGGTATTTATAGACAGTTATCTTTTTTTTTGTCCTCTTTATAATCACATTACAGAAGTCAACCACTTAAAAACTTTTAAAAAATCTCTTACAAATTGGGTCAAGGAGCAGTTTACCAGATGGTTAGAATGTAATGAAACATCTCATGCCTGTAGGGGGAGCCAGACGTGTATTTTCAGGTAAAGTGGTAGTCTGTGTTCTTACTGTTAGAAAAGCAAAATAACTAAAAACCACACTCTTACAGAGAATTAAAAAATTTCAAGGGAAAATAGGATAGAATAAACAATAAGCATAATAACAGAATTTTAGCAAAAACAAAATTTATCAGTGCCAGATTTCTTCCACATTTACAGAGTACCTGCCAAGTGCTAATTGTTTTCATATTTGTTGTATCATTTAATCTCCTCTGCTGAAGGTGGCATCATCGATGGGGAAATTGAGACTCAGAGATGAAGTGACTTACCTAAGTGATAGGAAGCTGGAGTTTCTACCTAGGTTTTCTTCTAGCTTTAAAGTGTCATATTCTTTAACTTTACTGCTTTTATTTCTTAGAAAGAAGGAATAAAATATACAAGCCTTTGGCAAAGATTTTTTAAAAAAATGAGAAAGTAAAGAATAGAATAACAGCTTGAAAATAAAAAGGTTTATTTATTTGATTTAATCTTTATCTTCATTGTATTTTTTTCCCATTACCATTTAGTCCCTTTATTCCATCCTCTCCTCCTGAACGTGAACACTGTTGTTCATTTCCATGAGTACTTTTTCCTTTTTGCTCAATCCTCTGGCCCCTAAAGATTTTCTTTAAAAAAAAGATAGATTACTGTGCACAGCTGGTAGTTGACAGAGGGCATTGGATGACATTGGGTTTCTCATTGTGGCCTGCCAAGTAGGACAGGGCTTTCCTGGCACCAGTTGGCTTTACCAAGTTGCTCCTGGCCTTTCCCTGCAGGGAACAAATCAGACCTTGGTGAGCTCCGGGAGGTCCCTTTGGCTGAGGCGCAGAGCCTAGCAGAGCACTACGACATCCTGTGTGCCATTGAGACGTCTGCCAAGGACTCAAGCAACGTGGAGGAGGCCTTCATGCGAGTGGCCACAGAGCTGGTCATGAGACATGGGGGTCCTCTGCTCAGTGAGAAGAGCACCGACCACATCCAGCTGGATAGCAAGGACATTGGAGAAAGTTGGGGCTGCGGGTGCTGACCGGGGTACAGGGCAGACAGGCAGGCAGGGGCCTTCCCATCTCCACTCTCTGGTCTGCCAAGCCCAGCCCTCCAGAGCTGGCCCTCTAGGGTACCAGTGATTGTAGAGAAGCTTGATAAAGTCCTGGAATTATTCATCCCATGGCCTGGATGCTTATTGGAAAAGCTACCCTAAGGAAAGAAGAAACAGGATTCTTCTGGCAGGTGCCTGTTGGCACAGGGTACAGTATGGGGCCCATCCTGCCAGTCAGCGGCTATTCCCTCCATGTTCTCATCCTAGGATAAGTCCAAGCTCATGAGTGTGGACTGCAGCTGTATGTGCTTCCCCAACTCTGTACATACTAGTTCAGACCATTTCACACCTTGTGCCTGCTAAAGCTGTGGCATCAGGTTGCTGCTTTCCAGGGATGTGGCTGGTGCTCAGGTCATTCCAGGGCCTCCATATGCAGGTGCAGAGAGCAAGAGCAATCAGCCCAATAGGCTGGTTTCTGAGCATAGCCCCAGGGAAGTCCTAACGCCTTCCAGGCGAAGAACCTTCTTTCTTCACTGCCAGCTATAAGCTCACAGACACCGTGAGGTCCTGCTTGCTGCTTTAGCAAGGCCTCTCAAGTTTTGTAGTTTTCCATGTAGCTTATTTTCTTCCACAAAAGTGTAGGGTAATGGCCTACAGTCAAGTGTGAACTACCTGCTGGACTGAGGGCCCAAAGCTTTGTCACTCAGGTTGCAAAACCAGCTAATTCTTCATTACTGGGGTCTCAAAAACTTGGGGGTAGGGAGAATGAGATAGGAACCTGGATATTTATGGGAAAAATAAAATCTTGTATCCTTGAGGATCTGGTCTGAGAGTGTCCCTCAGGACCTAGTCTTACCCATGACAGAAATCTTTCCTGCCATGTTTAGAGCATCAGCTCCCCTACTGCTCCCAGTCTAGCTTATAGAGTTTCCTAAACAAAAAATGGCAAGGCCTTAGTGGTTCTGGGTCTAGCCATTTCTTGCCAACCCCCCCCCAACCCTACCCCCCTGCCCGGGCCCACCTGTCCCCAACAGCTTCAATGTGCTCAGGGTGCTTACGTTAGAAGGTAGTCTGGGGCTGAGATTACTGGAATCTTTGAAGTAGCACTGGACTCTGTGGGGTAGCTCAGAATACTTCAGGGATTGGACTTAGGTGAACTTCCTAAGCCGATCCCAGTTCCTCCATGTCAGCCCAGTCCAGCCCTTTTGGCCCCTCATGCTGGGGCCTCAGGAAATAAACTGCTCTTAGGGCTATAGGCTAGGCACATCATGGAGCGGTAGCCTAGAGCCAGTCAGAGCCCAGGCAGCACTCCAGGCTCAGTCCCAGTCCCAAAGGTGGTCTGTGGTGTTCCAGCTTTGACTTCCCTTTCTTTTTACTCCAAGCACTTTGGTCAGCATTGCCCCCTCTCCCAGGCAGGCTTGGCTGCAGAGCAAGAAGGCAGACCTTTTGCAGTAGCCCTACAGCAGTCTGGTGAGACAGGGTAGGCCATGGGTGGCTGAGACTGAGACATGCAGGGCCAGTGACTCCCTTTCCAATAGGGAGGCAGCCATGGAACAGCTGAGCCTGGCTCTGGGGGGAAAGATGTTGGCCTGGTTAGGCCACAGGGCTTTGCACTAAGGGAAATCAGCCCATTGGTGGCTGGGGTGGGGTGAGAGCAGGGAGCAAGAAAGCTGCCTGGATTCTGTCCTCAGTGACCTTGCTGATGGATGGGCCCCAGTTGCTGGCAGGGAGAGTTAGTGTCTTCCTGGTCCCTCCATTGCAGTGCCTGGGCCCCACCTGCAAAGTAGAAAGTGCCTATCACTGAGGGGCTCCCTAAAGAGGGTTCCATTAAAGCCAAGGGCAAATTTCTCCAGCCCCATGACCTCTCTGCTAGGGACTAATATTTGGGCAGAGCTGGGCACTGAACTTAGTCCCCAGCTAGAAGATAACTCTTAGGAAGCCCTACCTGCTGCTTTGGCAGATGGGGGTACATGCAAAGGGTCTTGGAGCAGAGGTATGAGCCTGCACCCCTGTGATTGACTTGCAGCCCCAGTTCTAGCTGAGACCACAGGTAACTGCTGGACCCCTCCACCCCCAAGCCTTGCAGGGCTTAGGGAAAAAGAGAAGACCCTCTTCCCATCCTTCATATGGGTGTCCTTGGCTGGCATAAAGATCCAGGGTAGGCACTGGAACAGGTATCTTGCTGGCGATGGACTCATTTGTTACCTTAAAATGTGAGCCATCCCCTCTCCCCTCACCCCGCGCCACCCATAAGGGAGGAGGCCTGAAACCTTGCAAAGTTTGGCTTAGAAGGGGGAAAGAACAGTGGACCTAGCCTGGGACCAGGAAGGTTTCTTCTCATTGGTAACTCCTTGTTTTACCTAGAAATCAAGGAAACACTTTGCTTCCTCCCCTTCAAAATCCCAAGATACCAGACACACTGGGCTGAGTGGATCTCCTACTACCGCAGCATCCAGGGATTTAGCCTAGAAATTGGGGGTCACTTCAGGCTCCTCACTTTCTCTCTCCACACTACCACAGTTCTGGGAGCCCAGCTCCAGACAGGCTCACCCTCTCACCTGGACATCTCACTGACCTCCTTGGCTCCTGGACTTCTAGCCTTCACTGCCCCAGGCCACCATCCTGCTGCTGTCAAAGTGTCAGTTGTGAAAATCATTCCTGGTCCTGCCACGCCTCACCCCATCCCCAATACCTTCCAGGGTGCCCTTGGGCACTTAGAATACTCTTCACACTTGACCCAGATGTCCAAGACCTTCACAGCTCCACTCTGGCTTCTTTCGTGTACCTGCTTGTCCCCCAGGAGTACCCTCTTTCAAGGTTGACCCCTTCCTGTTCTCCTCCCCCCGCCCCCCCATTTACTGATCCTACACCTTTTGTTCTTTTATAATAGCACAAATGACCCAGTTGGACATCCCTGAGAACTGGTCCCACTCCAGGCTAATCTCTTGCTCATAGTACGCTCTAACAAGAATGAGTTCTTTCCCTACCCCTTGGCCTGTGAGTTTCCTTCTCCTATTTCTTGGGCTATTTTCTTTAGGCTCCAAGAGAGATATTTCCTGTCCCTCAACTTTACACAAATGCTAGTGCTCAGGGCCTGGCCTACAGTGTGTTAATGATTGCATGCCATGTGGGGTCCCTACTGTGTAGTGACCCATCAGGCTGGAGCCTCTACCTCTGTGGGCCTTAGTCCTGTGATGGGGTAAGAGAAGGTGGGGGAACTATTTGAGACAGGGAACAAGACTCAATTCTGTTTCTTCTAGAAGCCTCTGGGGCAAGAGAACAGTTTGATCTTTTTTTATAAATTACCTAAAAATAGGAGTAGATGGGGTATGAGGCCAGTGTGTGAGAGGTGGGGTAGCAGAAGGAGAGCCAGGAAGTGTCATGGCAGCTTAGGCCTGGACAAAGGCAGTCTATGGTCTCGGTGAGGCTGATGTGACATGGGCGGAGGGAGAACAAGAGGGAAGTTGGTATTTTATGGTTATGAGAGTTGGACTTAGGTGGGCAAGGAACACATCCTGATTCCTAAGCCAGAGAGGTGGTTCCCAGCCCTCCTAGAGGGGTTTTGAAACCAAAGGCACGAGCCCAAGCAGACTTAGAGTTGGAGGAAACTCCTAATTCATATTGAATTCAGTTATTCTCTAGGAGAACTTCTAGGTGTGAGGCCTCAGGGGCCCTCTCAGCCCCACTGGCCTGGACTATTAGGGGAGGGAGGGCCTTAGCCAGCCCAAGGATGCCATTTACATTTGGGAATTTTCACATTCTCTATTTATGAATATGTAAACCTTTATATCAAATCTATTTTTTACACCATGGAAAAGATACCTTTATGGAAACTTAGCAGACCCAGAGTGTACACATTCCTAAACCATTAAGCAGTTTTCTCTCATGAGCCAGTGGCACTGAAGACTGGTTCTATTACTTTTGAGCCCAGAGCCAGCCCAGGTGGCCACATCCCCGCAGATGGTCCCACTTGCCTAGTTTTCCTCAACTAGTCTCCAGGTCTGGGGTGGAAGAGGAGCCTACACACTGCCCACTACCAGTTACCCAGACCCCTGTTAACATCACTCTGTCCCAGACCAATGTGGGATACCCTGGGCAGAGAATTAGTCAACTGCCTAAGGGGCAGGAAGGAGCTTGGATTGGGTCCCATCTCTGCCAGGGATACAGGTGTGTTACTTTGGGCAACTCGCTGTGCCTTTCTGGGCTTAGGTTCCTTCAGTTGGGTTTGTGTGGGAGGAGGTTGGGAATACTGTTTGGTGATTGCCAGGGCCACCAGGGATCTCATACTTCTGTCACCTTGTGAAGCAGGTTGGTTTCTACCCTTCCAATGTCTGCTTTTTCAGATGAGTCAACAGACTTGGGTTGGGAATTCCTTCTCGAAGCCTTACAGCCATAAAGAAGTAGAGCTCTTACTCCAAGTCAAAAATCTAAGAACCCCCATGAGGGTCAGGCTGCTTTTGTTCACTGCTATATTCCAGGTGCAGAGAATGGTTCTAGGCACATAAGTGCTCAAATAATTGCTGAATGCCTGAACTGCCTCCTGGCACCATGAAGCCCATTAATCCATATACCACCAAGATAATTGAGTCTGCTCCTGGTCACTCACAAAAAGAGGACTCTGCCCACTCTGACCGCTGTGGCTCAATGGGTTGGGCATCATACTGCAAACCAAAAGGTTGCCTGTTTGATTCCTGATTTGAGCACGTGCCTGAATTGCATGCCAGGTCCACAGTTGGTGTGGGAGAGGCAGCCAGTTGCTGTTTCTCTTACACATTGATGTTTCCCTCTTTCTCCCTCCCTTCCCCATCTCTAAAAATAAAAATAATAAATAAAATCTTAAAAAAAATGGCCTCTGCCAAAAGGGTGAGATGAAGAGAGCATAGCATGGCCCCATGGTACTGCATCTGCCCTGCCAAAACTTGTTTTGAGACAAGGTGACATCATGGGACTCAGACCAACCTCCATTGAAATGCCAGGCCTGCCCTGACTAGTTGTATTATCTTGGGCAAGTCATTTCTCCACTCAGGGTCTTGGTTTCCTCAGATGTGGCACAATAATTCCTGTCCTGTCTGCACCCAGGGAAACCATAATGATATCTAGGGTGGGAAGGTGCTTTGTAAACTGAAGGGTATGGAGGTGGGAGGCTCCTGTCTCTGTCTCTGTCCCAGATGGTTCAGATGGCTGCTGAATTCCATTGACTGAACGAGGAAGGCCCGGAGCCCTGGAAAATTCCAGATGGGTCACACTCTAGACACTTGCCAACCACCTTTCCCAGGGAGAAGAAATACCTGTTGTCTGCATTTCCTGCTCTCACCGAATGCAAGGCAGCCCCAAACCCACGTGTGCCCCTTGAATGAAAAACCCGTAACGGGGTCCATCTGAGCTGGGCACTCCATACCCATCCCAGAGGCTCTGATGTGGGCCATGCTCTCCCAGAGGACCTTCTTTTTCTCTGCCCAGGGACTAGGGACTACGCAGACCCCGGGGAAAACGTACAGGTCCAGTCCTGGACTTTAAAGCAAGGAAACTGAGGCCAAGGACCGAGAGGGACTTGCTCACAGCCCCCACTGAATTTGCTCCTGAGCCCGCCCTTGGTGCTGGGTCCCAGAGCTCTGACCTGCTCTGCTGCCAGGGCCTCCACTCCCAGAGCTCCAATCTCAACCCCTCTCAGCACCCTGCGCGCATTTGCCCAGGAGCTTGGTTAGGGGTTAGGGGGGCCACCAGAACTTCCTTCAGAGGAGCCAGGACGCAGGTCGCCCCTGCCCAGTTATGTCCCCTCTCCTCATCCTCACAGGTCTCCTCTGTCACCTTCCCCACACGGCCACTCCCCACCACACCCAGCCTCTGCCCAGCCTCTGCCTGACCTGACTCATGCCTCCAGTGTCCACACCTGACTGCAGGTCACACACTGACCAGGCCACCCCCTTGCTCACACCCCTGCACAGCTCCCTGCTGCCCTCGGTCTCCTTCAAGAGGGCCCCCAGAATCACCCGTGGCCTGACTGCATCCT